CTACCTCCTCTCCTATGGCCCTCAAGCTCCGTCTGAGATTGTGAATCCACCTCTACGTCAATCCACACACATTCGTAAGTCCACAAAGTTACCAGATTTTACTTATTCTTGTTATTCTTCATCTTTTACTTTCTTTTTAGCTTCTATTCATTGTCTCTCTGAGCCCTCTTCCTATAAAGAGACAATTCTTGACCCTCTTTGACAGCAAGCTATGGATGAGGAACTTTTTGCTTTGCATAAGACAAGTACTTGGGATTTGGTTCCTCTACCTCCTGGTAAGAGTGTTGTTGGTTGTCGGTGGGTGTATAAGATTAAGACCAATTCTGATGGATCTGTTGAGCGATACAAAGCTAGGTTGGTTGCAAAAGGGTACTCTCAACAGTATGGTATGGATTATGAGGAGACATTTGTTCCTGTTGCAAAAATGACTACTATTCGTACTCTTATTGCAGTTGCTTCGGTTCGTCAGTGGCATATCTCTCAACTTGATGTTAAAAATGCCTTCTTGAATGAGGATCTTCAAGAAGAAGTTTATATGACTCCCCCTCCTGGTGTTTCACATGATTCTGGGTATGTTTGCAATCTCAAGAAAGCGTTATATGGTCTCAAACAAGCACCTCGTGCTTGGTTTAAAAAATTTTCTGTTGTGATCTCTTCCCTTGGGTTTACTTCTAGTAGTCATGATTCTGCTCTTTTTGTTAAGTGCACTGATGCAGGTCGTATCATTCTGTCTTTATATGTTAATGACATAATTATTACTGGTGATGATATTAATGATATTTCAGTTTTGAAGGCAGAGTTGGCTAGACAGTTTGAAATGAAGGATTTGGGTTCTCTACGATATTTCTTGGGTATTGAGGTAGCCTGCTCACCCAGAGGTTATCTTTTTTCTCAGTCGAAATATGTTGCAGATATTCTTGAGCGAGCTAGACTTACTGATAATAAGACTGTAGATACTCCTATTGAGGTTAACGCAAAGTATTCCTCTTCTGATGGTTTACCTTTGTCAGATCCTACTTTATACCGTACTATTGTTGGGAGCTTGATATATCTCACTATTACTCGTCCAGATATTGCATATGTTGTTCATGTTGTTAGTTAGTTTGTTGCTTCTCCTACTACAGTTCATTGGGCAGCGGTTCTTCGTATTTTGAGGTATCTTCGGGGTACAGTCTTTCAGAGCCTTTTACTTCCATCCACATCTTCCTTGGAGTTGTATGCATACTCTGATACTGATCATGGCAGTGATCCCACAGATCGCAAAACTGTTACTGGTTTCTGTATCTTTTTGGGTGATTCTCTTATTTCTTGGAAGAGCATGAAACAATCTATTGTTTCTCAATCTTCAACCGAAGCAGAATATCGTGCTATGACATCTACTACCAAAGAGATTGTTTGGTTACGTTGATTACTTGCAGATATGAGAGTTTCTCTTTCTCATCCCACTTCTATGTATTGTGACAACCGGAGTTCTATTCAGATTGCTCATAACTCAATTTTTCATGAACGAACTAAACACATTGAGATCGATTGTCACCTTACTCGTCATCATCTCAAGCATGACACCATTACTTTACCCTTTGTTTCTTCTTCTTTGCAGATTGCAGATTTCTTTACCAAGTCGCATTCTATTTCCTGTTTTCGTTTTCTAGTTGGCAAACTCTCGATGCTTGTCGTTGCTACATCGTGAGTTTGAGGGGAGATGTTAAGAAATATAGGGTTATTTTATTTATTAAGGGTAGAATAGTCTTTTATTTTCCCTACCTTGTTTAGCTTATATATAGTCTCTTTGTATTTAGGTTAAATCATTCTCTTGTATTCAATTAAATTATGCAGTATTAATAAAACCCTAGTCTCCTCTCTTTCTTATCTCTTGTATGTCTTTAGATTGTTTAACACTTTCTTCTTTCAAGTTCCTTAAAGGAAGATTGAGCACAAAAGATAGGATTCAATTATTCAATCCTAATATTGGGGTTGACTGCATTCTTTGTAGGGGGCTTTTTGAGACTCATTCTCACTTGTTTTTTGACTGTCCTTATTCACAGGTTATTTGGAACAAGCTTATGACTATAAGCTCTCAAGCTTGGCATTATAGATCCTGGACTGATTTTATTCCCTGGGCTGCTCTACTTTGGAAAGGCAAATCCTTATTGACTGTGTTAAAGAAATTATGCCTCCAAACTACTGTCTACTACCTATGGAGGGAGAGGAACAACAGGCTCTTCAGGAATCAATTAATGGACCATGATTCTACCCTACACAGTATATTGCAGGTCATTAGGGACAGAATGGCTTCACTGAGGTTTGATAATTATCAACATAACCAGCAGGTAGCAAGGCAATGGCAGTTACCAACTCAATGCCTAAATGCATATGGTTTGTGGCAAGGGAAGTCTTTCCTTCCTATGTTGTGAGATCTTGGACTGCTATCTTGCAAATCAGTGGAGTTATGTGGCAGGATAGTACGAAAGCTTGCACTCTTAGGATCTATCTGGCTTTTACTGTTTACTCTAGGGATGGAAAGATATTACAGACTGATTTTGAAGCTTGCTGCATCAATGATTTTATGCTTACAAGGCTTGCCTCCATGTATCTCAGTTTGGGATTCTTGGGGAAGTACTGGCTCAAGGCCTATACTTCTCTCAGAATTCCTAACTTGAGATGGATCTCTGTTTTTGTTTTTTGATTTATGAGCTTGGGGCTGCCTACTTGATGTTTGTTGCTGCTATGTTGTGCTGGGCTGTTTTGCTTGTTGCTGTGTTGTGCTGGGCTGTTTTGATTGCTGCTTGATGTTTGTTGCTGCTGCGTTGTTGATGCTGATTTTTGCTTCTGCAAATGGCTTGCTATGATGATTTTCTCTTGCCGTACTTGGTCTGATCTTGCATATGCAGTGGTGTTAAGGGGCAGAATTGGTTTCATGCTCTGTTTTTTATCTACCAATGTAATCTTGTCATCAATTCTGTGGGAGATGCTCTTACTCAAGGTATCTCTTACAGAATTGTGTTTTGAGCCTCGGCTTTTTGAATTTTTTTGATGTTTGTCTTGGAGTCCTACGTGACCTCATTGTACATTTTGTGGGTGATTACCCTTGTATATCTATTTTATTTTAATACACTTTACCTTCCGAAAAAAAAAAACTTTCTAAGATATGGTTTCACATGCAACCTACAGCATCATGCATGTTGATATATAAAATAACAAGTGAAATTTGAAAAAACTCATGTAATTACAAAAGCTATAGATATTAATTGAGTCAAGCATGTCGATTTTAAATATATTCAAGCTCAGCTTGATTGACTGAGCTTGAATGTTCAGTGTAGATTCACACTCAAGTGCATTGCCGAATTGATATAGGGGCTTAAATTTTTTTTTTTAACAAAACTTTATAAGGAATAAAACTCTAAACTTAATACTCAATCCAAAAGCAATCACGATAAAAATTTCCAAAAACCTATATATCAATCATCAAAATTAAATTGTATATGATTCCAAATTAGTTTTTTTTTTTAAATTTATATAGAGAATATAGGGAGAGGAGAGGGAAGTGAATATGGTCCAAAGTTATTTGAGAATAAGCCTAAAATTATTCATCGTTTGGATAATAGTTATTTGAACAAACAGAAACTTAAACGAGACAAGCGAAGACTACCTTAGTTGAGTCACAAGAAGTGTTTGAGAATCTGATCAAAATAGATCCATTTTATTGTTTGGAAAGCAAAAGACCCTCGAACTGTTCGGATCATTTCACAGCCCTAGCCATGGAGGCAATAACTAGCACATGTATGGATTTGCTTGCTTTTCCTCACAGAAATTCTGATAACCTCAGCAAGTCTTGGAGTTATGCAACTTGTATTGGGAAATTCTGGTGATGAGTGATCAGAATACCTTCTTTGCAGTGGTGGGCTCGTGAACTACGTTGATTCTCATTCTAAGAGGTTGAGAATGCCAACCAGTGACGACTACTAGGTGATGATACATGGCTGATGCATTGGTGCCTTTAGACGGTCACAAGACATCATTCGCATTGCCGAATCTAATATGCCACAGAACTTTGAAGTGGCTCTAAATCATAAGATTCCCTTGGGTTTAGAGGAGATAAATTTGCCAACAAAACTGAACTTCCTTTTTCCATCCAATGTTTGATCTTGATGTTCGAATAAAGTGGTTCTTGATGCTTCAATAAAAGAGGCCTTTCTTTTAAGATTATAACAATTTCTAATTTGCCATCTTTTGACTGTGCTTTGTGGTATTTTCTTGTAGGCAGTGGGTTCTTCAATCCACTGCTATATGGATCTTTTCTTATTTTAACCAGGGCTAGATAAGATCCTTCAATTTATGGCCGACATAGGTGGTGCCATGTAGAATTCACGTTGCCTCAAAATGCATTCAATTATTGTCATTCTTTTTTCTACAATCATGTCTAATCGTGTATAATCAGATTCATATCATATCTACATAATATTAAATATTATTAATGATGCCTCATTATGTGGGTACATGAATTCACTTATTCACAACTGCTTCTAACTATTTTGATGTCTAATTTAAATAATGTTATTTGGACCAAAAAATTTAATTTAATTTGTTGAAATAATGATATGACTTTATAAAAATCATCGAATCAATATCAAGTTTCAATATTTGATGGGACCTACAATTAATTCAAAGTTCGCAGTGAATTAGATTAATAAATTATGCCAGTAAATTAGATCTCAATAGCATTGTTCGCCAAATTTATTTCTAGATGATCCGCTCGCTAATTTTCTTCCAAATAATGGAAAAAATTGGGACTGTCGTAATCATAACAGACATAACCCTTATCAGCTGACTGTTTAGACCTAAATGTAAGTTAGTGATTGCAACATTATTTCAAGAAGAAAAAATTAAAATCTCACAATTGAGGGCAAGATTAATATTTATGAATACTTCTGGGCCATGAATACATTTTTAGCCTAGAAAAAAAACCCACACTCTCACTGATCTATATAAGAAGCTTTAGAATGCATGGTTTCTCCTAACCCAAAACGTACACCTCTATAGCTGTAACTCAACACAAACCACAGCAAAAACATGCCTATTTGGAACCCTAAGTCTGCAAGTCTCCCCCCAGGTGAGGATCGTCTCAGGGATCTTCTCAGGCGATACGACACCAACCGCGACGGCAAACTAAGCAAAGAAGAACTGAAGGCAGCTTTCCGGAGCCTGGGGGTAGGTTTTAGTGGTTGGAGAGCTGGGAGAGCCCTCCGTCATGCGGATGCCAATGAAGATGGATACATTAATGAAAAGGAGATGAATGAGCTTGTCGAGTATGCTACCAAGTGGGGATTTACTGTTAATTAGAGCCCCTCACAACATATTTTACAGAAAGCTTGGGGTCTAACATAATAGTTTAAACTCCAAGCTAGTTCTTTAGGTTTCTAGAGTGATGTTGTAAAACTGCAACTTTCTTTTAATGGAAAAACTAATTAATACTTTGATCTCTCTTTAGTTTCTTTTAATATTAGATGAGCCAGTTATACCATGAATTTTTTTTTCCAAAATTTTCTCCCATGTGTTTTGAGAGGAACGCTTTTGTTATTTTTTTCGCTTTGGGTTGGTCATTTTTCATCTTCAATTTATAGTGTTAAGGTGGACTAGTATGACAATCACAACTACTTAAAGATTTGCTGAAAATTTAACATGTCCAACTGCAAGTCAGTTTCTGCATTAAATGAAAAGGATCATAGAGAATCAATACTGCTAACGAAACATTTTCGCCTACTGATTAGACAATCAGAACGGTTTGATGTTGAGAAAAAATATATCAGCTGAACCATCCACATGTTGGTGAGCCCAAAAATGGTAATGTCCAAGGCCCTCAATGAGAGGGAAAAAATGGTAATGTACAATTCTCTCTTAAGACATAGCCGGAAATGAATGGCTCATGGTATAAAACATTGTTGTATGATTTTTTTTTTTAAAAAGTTTTGAGACCTAAAAATCAGACATGTCTAGTAATATAATCCTAATAAAGATATTCAGGAGTTACAATTAAAGTAATGACGTTAGACCACAGGTATCCTCTCATTAGGTCCATTTTTTAAGTATCAATTATTATTTATTTTTGTTTGGGGATTGAGTTTTTTTTTTTTGGAAAATTTTATTCACACCCTTCTTAGTTTATCATATCTTCAAATATATTTTCTCTATTATTCAAAATATCATTGATACCCTTTCTAGTTTATATTAAATCACTGTTTCTAACAACAACAAAAAATCATCTAAAACACCAAAATTGCTCTTACATAAAACCCCAAACAATCTTTCTATATAAAATTCGATTAAAATTTGAGGCGATTAAAATTTAATTTTCTACATATTAAAATTTGAGCTGATTAAAATTTATTTTTCTGCATATTAAAATATGATTCAAATTAATTAAAATTTATTTTTCTACATATTAAAATTTGATTAGAGCTCATTAATTTATTTTTTTTACATATTATAATTCGAGCCTATTAAAATTCTGTTTTTACATATTAAAATTTGAGCCGATTTGATCTCTACTTGAACTATTAGCGCCGATTAAAATTCGTTCGAGTTGATTAAAATTTATATTTTTTTACTTATTAAAATTCGATTAAAGTTGATTAAAATTTTTTTTTATGTATTAAAATTTGAGTCATTTAAAAATTATATTTTTTTACGTATCAAAATTTGGGCCGATTATAATTCAATACGAGTTGATTAAAATTAGATTTTAGTCGCATAGAATTTTAATTGAATCAAATTTTAATGCGTAGAAAAATATAATTTTTAATCAATTTAAATTTTAATACGAAAAAAATAAATTTTAATTAGCTCGAATTGAATTTTAATTGACCTGAATTTTAATCCGTAAAAAACTTTAAAAAACAAAGAGAGTCTCATTGAAGATATGTCTATCTAGAGGGGGTATGAATGGAGTTTTTCTAAAATAAATCATAGACAATTTAGTAAAATTGTAATCTAGTTAACACCTTTAATCTAACGAGGGGAAGATTCTGGAAATAGACGGTAGTCCTTGAAGATGTGATATACTAAAAAGGATGTGGTTGAAATTTTCCTTTTTTTTTTGGGTTGGGGTGGGGGGGGGGGGGGGGGGGATTAATGGAAACAAAACAAAAAATCTTTTGGGTGCTAGCATAGGGGTTTTTGGATCTCAATCATCTTCGGGAGGGGTGGGGAGTAATAGATGCTTATTCTGAATTTTCAAGCCCCAATGAGTTTTCCACTAATACATAACTCATAATCTACCATTTAGGACAAATAATAATAATGTACTTTCACTGATTTTAACTGGTTCGAGCATCTAATTAAGGTGAGAGGACCCCTAGATAAGATTCTCACTACATTGTGGCAATCCAATTGATATTTCAAAAATACCTTGCTTATTACTTTTTTCAATGGGATAGTAACTAAACAGCATGAAAGTAGATCGAGAGATTCCAAAGAAGGAACGATGGAAAATGAGTTTCCTTTATTCTTCGTTATCTTTTTTTTTTTTTGGGTGAAGAATGTGATATTTTGTTTGAAGGCAGACCTTGGCGTAACGATAAAGTTATTACATTGTGAAGGTCATAGTTTGAATGACGAAAATAATTTCTTTGTTTACAAGGGTAAAATTGCATACATCTTACCCTCTTTAAACCCTACAATGACCGAAAATTATGCACTGGGTACGCCCTTTTAATGTGATATTCTGTCCGAACCAAGGATATTTTCAAAAAGGCCGGGTCAAGTGGTCATGCATGCCCACAAAAATCTTTGGTCTCAACCAATGCACAAGCATATTTGACAGTCTCAGTCGTTTTCCCTCCCTCTCTCTCTTTCTCTTTTGCCTCAGATCTAGAGTTTGCTTCAACAATTTAGGACCATTTCTCTATTTGTTTATGTTATCTTTGTGCAGGGGTAATGTTAATCTTCTCCGTATTATTCCAATTTTATCGGATGTCTCCAAAGGGATCTACTATGCTTAGGCATCAATTTGATCAAATCTTACGTGAACACCACATGTTCAAGATCATGAATAGGACCACCCACCGAAAGGGAATTAATTTTCTTTTGATGATTGAAACTTGCAATTCTTGTACTACAAGTGGGTTAAAAAGTCTCCATGGAGTATAGGATGCCATCAAATGTTACAACACTAGGTTCTTGAACTGGGGTGTGTAAGTCCTTCTTCAACATTCATTTGCCCTTATCTCAGTTCTTTGGATAAGATGTTTGAACATGTGATTCAGAAGTGAGAGACCATACTTTATCCATCGTTTCACATGCAACCTCTAGACTCATGCATGTTGATATAGGCAATGATCAAAATTTTGTTGAGTTACATTATTTTGGTCACTTAAAAAATGAAAATGTTTCGACGTATTTCGAAAATATTTCAACCCGTTTCAAAAAAAAATGAAAAAAATAAAAATTTTAAGAATTATTTTTTCAAAAATATTAAAACATATCAAAGTATATCAAAATATCTTGAAATATATTAAAACATTTCGAAATAATTATGCAAATACATTGAAACATTATAAAATATCTCGAAACATTATGAAACACCTTGAAATATTAGAATTTCGATTTTATTATTGATTCGTTTCGATCTCCTTGAAAACGAAAAACGTTTTGGACGTTTCGAATGTTTCAAAACGAAATTATGACCCTTTGATATAGGTTAAGTAACAAAGGAAATTTGAAAAAAAGTTAAGTAATTACAAAGGATACACATGTGATTGTTAATAGAATGGAGTGTGTTGAAATTAAGTATGATCGAGCTCAGCTTAATTGACTGAGCTTTGACTAACGATCGTAAACTCTTGCTCAAGTGCAACCCCGAATCTAAGATATAGCTTAATTTTATTTTTTTTGCAAAAATTTTTAAGAAATAAAACCTAGAAATTAATTATCACTCCAAAAACAATCAAATTCTCAATAAAAATCTCCAATGTATATCAATCATAAAATCAAACCCTGGAGGTTCAAAAGGGATAGCAACCAATATTACTAGCATTAGCTACTCGGGTTAGCTACAGTAACAACCGTCTCTGCACTTTTCCCTGTCGCCACAACCAACCACCATCACACATTTCTCCGTCTCCTCCTCCTTCAACCCCACACTCTTTACCCTCCAAAACCCAAGACTAACCCATATCCACCCAGATCCTTCGGAAAAATGTTTTCCAAACTTTTTTCCCTTTGGTCACTGTTCACCAAACCCTCTTCTACCCCTCTTCGATTTGCCCTGCAAATCTATCCCTCCAGTCTTTAATCCCTTCTAACCCATTTATCTATCACATCCCTGATGAACTCCCAACCCCCTTCATCTTTGCTCCATCCCGATGGAGTGGTTATGCAAAATGTCAGAGGAGCCATTAACTCCCCTGCTACTGATCTGAATAGCATTGGTGGTGATACTAACTGCCAAGTTAATCCCCTATTTGCCAATTCTCAGCTGAAAGAGTTCATAAATGTCCCTCATTCTCCACTTGGGGAAAACACTACTACAGTAACTCCCCAAAAGCAAAAACAGAGCAATGCTGAAGCTGGTACATGGAGCCAAGTGGTTAGGCATGGCAAGAATGGAACACAACAGTCACAAGCTGGAGGACTCTACCCTAAGATGAAGCTACAATACTTTGAACCCACAAAGGACAAGGAATGTATCGTGGTTAAACAACCAAATGAAGTTGTAAGCAGAGGTTGTCTTGAATGGGAAACAAGCTTGGTTGGATATTTTGTAGAAAAAAAGCTCCCCTTCTTTGTTGTTAATAGTATTGGCCACAAGATTTGGGACAGGTTAGGGCTTCTTGAGGTCCTAGCTGATGAGAAAGGGTTCTATTTCTTCAAGTTCATGTGTGACGATTCTAGAACCAAACCATTTGAGGATGGGCCATGGCTCTTCTCTGGTAGGCCACTTATCCTCAGGAAATGGCAACCTGACCTTATTCTTTCCAAAGAAGACCAGTCTGTGATCCCTCTATGGATTAAGTTACATAATGTCCCTTTACAATACTGGAGCGAAGAAGGATTGAGCTACATTGCCAGTGCTATTGGGAAGCCACTGCATGCAGATTCTCTGACTGCTAATAAAAAGCGGATTTCCTTCACTAGAGTCTGTGTTGAAGTAAAGGCTCATACTAAATTGGTGGAGTCCTTTGACCGACAATTGGATGAAGATGGTAAATCAGGTATGGTCGAAATTAAGGTGGAGTACCAATGAAGGCCCAAGGTCTGTCTTACCTGAAATATTTTTGGGCACATTGATGCTAATTGCCCCAGAATGAGCACTTGGATGCCTAAAGAAGCACTACAACAGAAGA